TTATAATAGGGTTTCTAGGGGATACTAAGTAGACTTACTAAGTCAAAAGGGCCTCCAAGTACATAAGAGTTACTGTACTGTTTACGTATATACTTTGGACCCCAAAGTATGTATGTACTATTTGTATACTTGGATTCTTAGGGTGCTACAGTGATTCCAAAAGGGCTATTTCAAGGGAGAAGCTCCAGCAGAGTGACGACATGAGAGGACCAGAATTAGAGAGAGAGAGAGAGAGAGTGCAGGGGACATGGGTCCTCATTATGTTCGGTTTAGGCTGCAGCGGCTTCCATAGAAGATCTCACGAGGATGCGCCAAGTAATCAATCGAAATGCCCTATACGAAATAAGCGCCAACACCTATAAACTTAGGCCAAAACAGCCACAAACATCAGGATCTGGTAGTTGGGGCATAAGGGCCCTGCAACCCTAAACCCTAAACCATAAGCCCCCCAGTACCCAAACCCTACAGTCTAATGGGAGTCTAGAAACCTTGCTAGCCTTGGGAGGGGTTTAGGGTCAGGGAGGTTTCAGGGTTTAGGGGCTTCTCAGAGCTCAACATCCGTGAAGCCCTAGTGAAACTGAGCCCAAGCCTGAATCCCCGCCGCAAGGCTGTTAGCCCTACTTAAAGGATCATGGGACTTAGTAAGTGGGGTTATAAGTAAGGTAACCATACTTACAACTACTGATATAACCACAATTAAGGCACTTATAACCTTGCTTACTAAGTCCCATGATCCTCCAAGTAACCCTTTGACCTAATCAACTTCTACCCTCTCATTGCTTTCTCAGTTCTTTCTCCCAAACTCTAAGCCGCTGAAACCCTCAACCTTGAACCCCTTAGCTGAAATTCCCTTGAACCCTCAAACCCGAAGCCAAACCAGGAAAGCCAAAAAAGAGATCCTGCGCCTGGCAACCGCTGCAGCTCGTCAGCTTTGCTTCAAGCCGAAACTGACTGCGGGCACCCGGCGCTTCAGAGAAGAGCTGAATGGTTGTTGACCTAAAGGTTTAAGGTTCAGGGTTGAGGGCTTAGGGTTTAGGGTTTTGGTTTAGGGTTTAAGGTTTATAGGGCTTAGGAAGTTTAATAAGGCTGAGGGTTGAAGGCAGTCTTTGGGTGTCAGGAAGACCCCGACACACCCGTTGTCTCCATGCTAAGCCCTACCTGGACCCTAAGGAACCCGCCTGTTTAGGGTTCCCTAATATGATTTCTTTATATAAGTAAACCCTAAACCCTAAACCCTAAACCCAAAACTGCATGATGCCTCGTGCGGGAGTTTTGGGATGGTTTCATAGAGACTGTCTTGCGGATTTAGATGCTTTGTGGGCTCAGCTTCAGGCGTGTGGGGCTTCGGCCCGCAGAGTCACTCAGTGTTAATATAGGGGCCTTAATAATTAGAATAGGGTTCCCTTCAAGGGCTCTTCTAAAGGCTCTATAAGGGTTACTATAAGGGCTACGCGGCAGATTTTCGGGTGTTTAGGCTTGATGGGCTTTGGCTAGGAACTTGTTGCGGCAATCGAAGACGCGGACTCTGACAGAAAGCCGCCTTCATGACAAATACAGGCGCCTGAATAGTGACCAATACTATTCTGGGTTCCTCATTGTACTTATAGCATAATATACCCCAAGACCCTATTCTAATTATTAAGGCCCCCCTACCGAATCCTTATAATAACCCTTACAATAACCCTTATAGGCCCTTTATAACAGCCCTAAGGGAACCCTATTCTAATTATTAAGGCCCCTATACTAGCAGCCGGAGCATCGATGCAAAACTAGACCAGGCCGAAGGGACTGCATCCGACTTGCATCTCAACTGCGCCACTCCCTGTGCTACCAAGAGCCACCCCAAACTACGATGTAGGGTTTAAGGATTCAGGGTTTAGGGTCTGTTAGGGTTTAGGGTGTAGGGTTCAGGGTTTAGGGTCCAAACCTTGAAGTGTCATTCTCCGCAGAAGACTAGTCTTCCGGATTTGGCCCCCAAGAAGCCGACACACCTTTTCACGCGGTGACATTCATTGGCTCGTCCTGTCCTGGGAAAGCAGTCATGCCGCTCAGAGATTCGTGCAACCCACCCATTGTTGCCTCGGTACGACGGAGCACTGCCACTGGCAAGAATTGAAACTACCCGGCTAGGAGCCAGCAGCGCTCGCAGCGCGTGTAGCGACACTAGCACATGTCGCGCACTTAGCATCAGTCAGCAGATAGTCGTAGCCGTCGCGTAGTAGCAGTGGCAGCCGTAGTCGCAGCCGGAGCCGTAGCGTGGCAGTAGCAGTAGCAGTAGCAGTAGCAGTAGCAGCAGCAGTAGCAGGAGCAGCAGCAGCAGCAGCAGGAGCAGGAGCAGGAGCAGGAGCAGGAGCAGGAGCAGGAGCAGTAGCGGTAGTGGTAGTGGTAGTGGTAGTGGTAGTGGTAGTGGTAGTGGTAGTGGTAGTGGTAGTGGTAGTGGTAGTAGTAGTAGTAGTAGTAGTAGCAGCAGTAGTAGTAGTAGCAGCAGCAGCAGTAGTAGCAGCAGCAGCAGTAGTAGGAGTAGCACTCGTGGCAGTAGGAACGTAATTAGTAGCAGAGGCAGTAGCAGTTAGACTAGTATACTTGTACTACTACGAATGCGCGCTCGTAGCAGTATCTCATAGTCGGGGGCCCTGGCCGCTGCCGCCACGCACACGAAGGCACCGGCGAGGAGCAGCAACCGCTCCTGTGCTGCATCATGGGTTGAAGGGTCTCTGGGTTGCCATAAAGGTTCCCATAAGCCATGATGGGTTCTTGTCAATCCTAGGATAAAAGTCTCATCAAGTCCGCTTAGGATTCAAGGCTTCCGGGGAAACATGTATTTAATGAGTTTTGGTTTAGGGTTTCGTGTCCAGGTTTCGTGGCTTGGGGTGTGTCACTGCTAGAACTGCTAGAAGTTTGGCACCTGTACTTGGAGGCCCGGTTGACTTAGTAAGTCTACTTAGTATCCCCTAGAAACCCCATTATAATCCCCATAACCCACCTTACTAACCCTACTTACTAAGTCAAAAGGGCCTCCAAGTAGACCCGGTGAGAGTACCCTGTCGAGGGACCTTTGAAGGAACCCTTATAGCACCCTCAAAGGTTGCGGCCCGTGGCGTTGCAGCCGCAATGCTCTTGACATGAAAATACAATAAGCACTAGTTCATTGCTGGGATAGGATTGAAAATGTACATTTTTGTTCCCTATTGGGTTTAAGTACCCATAAAAATGTAAAATGTTCCCCAACTATGACAAAGAACAGGTCAAGGAAAGGCGGTGAGGAGAGGAGCAGCACAGGTCTGACAGCAAACGCCATCCGAATTCCAAGTGCTTTCATACAGACAGTGCAGAAACTATCTTGCGAAACATCGTCTATGATATGAGGTTTGAGGGATTGAGGGCTAGACTTATTGGGTTTGAGGCTTAGTGCTTAGGGTTTAGGTTTAAGGATTGTATGCCTCACACACCTGCCACACGGGATGAAACTTGAAACCCTCACCCTCCGCATAAGGCCCAGGCTAGGTTTTTGGACCACTTACACCTTTAAAACATACACCCAACCGCAAGAAAAGCTAGCACCCGCATCCCGAAGCCTTAAAGATCAGACACTAACATCCCAGAACCACGAAACCCAAAATCCGATATGCAAAAGCGAAGCTCTGAACCCTGAAACCACAAACAATCCCAAACTCCTAAGCCCTAAACTCCCTCAAAATCCCCTCTCCGGATTTATTAGCGCAAGCTTCCGGTGGAGGCTCTACCGCTGACCTTTTGGTCAGGGATGACAAGCCTACTGCGATGAGTCCGCCCAGCGGGATTTAGAGTTTAGGGCCTTTGTCAGATAGCCGTGAACTACTGGTACAATTTGCCGAAATCCCCGCGCACTAAACCCTATACCATGCTTATGCTTTCGGCCTCAGACGTTGGACAGCTACAAGTTCCTTGCGGATGCTGCAAGCCAAGCTGTCCGCAGATCTTCAGATCGAAGGGGAAAAGGAGGGACCCTTAATGGGGACCCCTACCCTATAATGGGGCTATATAATGGGTATATAATGGCTATATTAAGGGTATATACCTAGGGGTCCTTATTAAGGGTCCCTCCTTTTACCCTTGGATCAAAGCGAGACATGCAATCGATCTTACGCTTCGCGTGCATCGTTGCAGTCTCGAATTCTGACCCTGAGGCAGACAGCCATGTGGGAGCCGAAAATAGGGGACCCTAATTTAATACCTTTATTATAAGGGCCCCAAAATAAGGCAATGATGAGACAGGGGCCTTGACAATTCGAAGAGGTGTTTGGGGATAGCAGCGGCTGCGTGCTATGGTTATACGAGCGCTTCTAGGTGGATAATGCTACAGGCTGCACTCAGGATTCCCAGACCTTCCAAAATCCCTTAATTAAGGAATAAACCTTAGTTCATATTAGGGCTCCTATTATAATTTAAGGTATATTCCTTAATTAAGGGATTTTGGAAGGTCTGGGTTGTGCAAAACGCACCAGAGACGGATGTCTTGACTCCCGGGCTGGGTTGCATCTTAGAGCCTGAAGTCTTCACATCACATAGGTGCCTTAATGATTAGAATAGGGTTCCCTTAAAGGGCTCTTATGAAGGGTCTATAAGGGTTACTATAAGGGCTACTATAAGGATGAGGTATAGGGGCCTTAATAATTAGAATAGGGTTTTGTGGCCAATTATACTATAAGTATAATGAGGAACGCCCCAAAATATTATTGGTAATGATTTAGGCCCCTGTAATATAGTACCCTCATGGTAGCCCTTTATAGACCCCTGTTAAAGGAACACTTTTGCTCGACCCCCCGGGAGATCAACCCAGTCTCGGATCCTTCTGTGTCGCTTTAAACAAAGCAGGCGATGCCTGGACTGAGCCTCGCAAGACGCCCCTTAGGGCTTAAGGGTTTAGGATTTGGGGCTTAAGGAGGTTTAGGATTCAGGGTTTAAGGGTTAAGGGTTAAGGGTCTAGGATTTAGGCTTTAAGGTTTAGGGGCTTAGGCTGCTCAATGGCTGGCCCGCATCACGAGAAAAAGAATCGACAGCAGCCGCACCTTCGCTGCACAGGGAGGGGCCCGCTGAGCAAACAGATGCCCTGCAGGGTTTGGGGTTTTTGTTTGGGGTTTAGGGGCTTGGGGTTAAGGGCTTAGAATGATCATCAGAAAAACCAGACGACAAACTAGAGCAGCTAGAGCAGCAGCAGCAGCAGCAGCAGCAGCAGCAGCAGCAGCCGCAGCTTAACCTTTGGGATTATATGGTGGCTATACCTTGACCCAAAAAAACCACCTCTTTAAGGACTTATATAAGGAAATCATAATAGGGAACCCGAAAAAAGGTAGGTTCTTTAGGGTCCAGGTAGTTCCAAAACAGTTATATAAAGGTCTACTCAGCCTCTACTACTGAGCTAAACCTGAATCCAACATGGATAGCCCCACCCTCACCCCCATCCCCCCACCCCATTCCCACCCCCACCCCCATCCCCACCCCCCACCCCCCAGCCCACCCACCCCCCCCACCCCCTGAGCCATCTGAGTTCCGGCGCCACAACGGTGATGGCTAACAGCACGCCGATGTACACCCACGCCAGCTCCGGCTCCTGCCACTTGGAGGCCCTTTTGACTTAGTAAGTAGGGTTAGTAAGGTGGGTTATAGGGATTATAATGGGGTTTCTAGGGGGATACTAAGTAGACTTACTAAGTCAAAAGGGCCTCCAAGCAGTGTAGTGGTTGAGGTTTTGTGCATACGACTTGGCCTTGCGCTTTTGAAGGGTCCTAAATTCTTAAAGAAAGACTAGAGACCTGAGAGCTTCAGGGAATACCCCTGTCCCCAATCGCCGACCTGGCACCAACGTCTAACCCATGCACACTGAAACCCTGGTTTTGGAAAGGCTAGAACCACCGTTATCGGGATTTGACTGGCTCTCAGCACATACCCACAACCTGTTTACCAACTCTCCTCCTCCTCTCAAATCTTAGTGTCTTAGTGTAGGCTGGAGTTGAGCAGCACTCTGAGGCTGCAGCCACGCCGTTGCCGTCGATGAGTTGGACTTGGGCAGTCCTAGGGAAAAGCTGTAAAGAATTGGGCTTCTGTACGACCTCAGACGGTCTGATTAAGGCTTGGGCTTGGGATTGCCACACCTTTGGGGCCGTGGAGTTTCAGACAGAAGTTTCGGGATGAAGGCTGCCAAGTTCGGCGGGTTGGATGTTGGTTTGCGCATTATCTCTCTGGTCTCTGTAAGATCTACTTATATAGTTGGAGTGTCTGCATCACATAGCCTAAACCCGGAGACACCGCTGGACTGGTGTTCGGGTCTGCGATTTCCGGGGCGATGGGGAGTCTCCGGTTGACGTTCAACTGGTGTGGACTCCAGCCATTTCAAGCTAAGTCGGGATTTTGGGTTTCTGGCGCTAGACACCCTAAACCCTAAACCCTAAACCCCAACCCTAGAAACTCTCTGGCCTTAATCTGGATTCTTCTTAAAGCATTCAAGTGGAGTTACCGTAATAAAGAAAACATAATACCTATGATATATCATATCCCTAGTATGGTAACTTAAACTGAATTCCTTAACAAGAACCCAGTAATGCGAACAGTGGCTGGCTAGCCCAACGAGCTGCAACCACCGAACATTCAAGCACGTATTGAACTTCATCAAAGTCCTTGAAAGCACTAAACCCAAGGGTTCATGTACCCGACTAGTGATCCTTGAAGGGTTCCTTTCAGGCTTACTGTAAGGGTTCTAGCAGGGTTCTCTGGGGGTTAAGGGTTTAAGGGTCCATGTATGCAAATTAGTATATACGTAAGCCTTTAAGTACTCCCTATATAGGGACGTTGGGCCCAAAGTATGACAAGTTTGGGTACATGGGCCCTCAGGGAAACGGAATTCTGGATCTTGCCCGTCTTTAGGCATTGCACCTAAGCCGTACAAGAAAGTTCTATCGCATAGTTCTGCAGGTACCACTATTTCAACTTGTGCCGACCCCAAGCCAAAACACACAGAGACACCCGACGTTAAGGCAACACCAACGAATCGAGACTAAAATCCCTACGAGTGACATGAGAGGAAAAACAGCTAATCCAAAGACTACCCAGAGAAGCATGGACCTAAGCCATCACAAGTCCGCCTCTGAGATGGCCTATGGTAACTGCCCGCAGACCCGAATGTAAGCATCCTCATGTCCTGTCATAACACTCATTTGGGGGTTTCCGAAAATAGGGGACCCTCATAAAGTACCCTGAATAGAAGGACCCTTTTCAAAAGGTACATAGACCGCCTTCTAGATCCACTGCAGCCAAAAAGCCTGAAAGAAATCCTGTCACCAATTTGCTATGATCCGAGAAACCCGAAAAACCTAGACCCGAGGCCCTACACCTAAAACCCTTAAACTCCTTAAACAAACCCTGAACTCTAGATACCCCTTATAGTAAGTAGCCCCTGCAGTAAGGAACCCTTTACGGAACCGTTGAGGAGACCGGTCCATCCCCTAAACTCTCAACCTCTACCCTCAACTCTGCATCATAAACCCTACCACTTTTTTGTAGGGCCCCTATAAGATTTCTTCTATGTTTGGGTTTCAATAAAGACTAGCTACAAAAAAGTAGGTTCAGGTACCTTGTGTTGCCCGTATAGATCCCTTACAGTAGCCCTTACAAACCCCTTTCAAGGAACCCGATTCTTCTATCTATGAAGGCGCCTATATGGGAGTTTCCGCAAAGAAGGGATCCTAATATAGTACCCTAAATAGTAGGCTCCTTGTTATAGTATAGGACCCAAAATAAGGGTAACCCTAATTCTCGGAATCTCCAAACCCTAAACATCCCCAAACCCCAAACCCTTTATAGAACCCTTATAGATCCCTCGAAGGAGCCCTTAAAGGATCCCTTTAAAGGAACCCCTAATTTTCGGAAACTCCCATATTAGTTTAGTTTGTCTTATTTTGGGGGTCCTATACTATAATAAGGAGCCTACTATTTACGGTACTATATTAGGATCCCTTATTTTCGGTTTAGTTTGTTGAAGGTAAGCAATCTGCCGCCGAGCCACTCCCGGGCTTCCACCGGCCAATCCTCCGCAGGGCGGAGCTGCTGGGGCGATGTCGGGTTCTGGGGGTTTTGGGGATAGGGATAGTCGGGTTTTTAGGGTTTTGGGTTTTGGGGATAGGGTGTAGGGTTTTTAAGATTTAGGGTTAAGGGTTCAAGGTTTCTAGGGCGACGTCAGTTTTGGGGTTTTGGGTGTGGGAGCCAGCTAGGGTTTAGGGTTTAGGTTTTTAGGGTTTAGGGTCTTAGGCGTTGGGGATAGGGTGTAGGGTGCAGGGCTTTTAGGGTTTAAGGTTTAGGGTTTTGGGGATAGGTTTTTAGGGATTAGGGCTTTAGGGTTAAGAGTTTAGGGTTGTGGGGATAGGTTTTAGGATTTTCCATTCAGGGTTTTGCGGATAGGTTTAGCATTTAAGCGTTTGAGTTTGCTTTCAGGGTTTCGGGTTTTGGACAGACGAGGGTTTTGAAGAGACGACGAACATTGAATCCTCCACCAAAGCCATAAAACATCAACCCGCGTCCTTCGCTGTCTCCTGCCCGAACTCGTTCAAGAGATAGAGGTTCACGCCATATTTCAGAGAGCCTCACAGGGAGCAGGGTGTACTACAGGGGCCTAAATAATTGAAACGGGATTCCTTTCAACCACAGAGGACAGTATATAAGGGTTTCGTACAGGCCCTTATTCATTTGAAGAGGGTTTGGGGAAAAAAGTAAGCTTTCAAGAACTGCGGGAAAGGTAAGATTTGAAAAGCAATAATTATATGATATGGTTTCAGGTTATGATGCAGCTAGCAAGGTAGCAGAAGTCGTGCATAAGTCGCTAAAGCTCTAACGCCGATTCAGTGCATGCCAGTCGCAGAGCCACTGCGACCAGCGCAGCCACACTGGAATCTGCTCGGTTCTGATGAAGAACCTGAGCAACGGTTGATGATATAAATCCTGCATTACCCACAATAAGGAATGTACCATAATTCCTCATAATTCCTATAGTCTAGGGTCATTAAGGTAGTGCAGCTCTTATATAATCAACCGAAGGACCCCAAGCAATCAACCTCAAAGGGCCCAACGGCGAGCGTTCCACGGTATGGCCCCAAAGACTGAAACAAAGGGTTTGTGGCCCTAGACCCTAAACCCTACGCAAAGGATCATGGGACTTAGTAACTGGGGTTATAATAGGGTACCTATACTTTCAACTACTTATAACCCCAGCTAAGGTACTTATAACCTTACTTACTAAGTCCCATGATCCTCCAAGCAAACCCCCAAACCCCAAAACCCGTGGTGCGAAAGTCTGTTGACGACCAGTTCTGAGCGTCAGGACTGTGCGAAGGTGACATGGGCTGAGGCTGGCAATTGCTGGCTGCCACTTATAATAAGGATCCTACTATTTAGGGTACTATACTGAAGTTCCCTATTTTCGGCAACTCCCACATGATGCCAGTGATGGCTGAATGGAGCAGCAAAGCGCAACCACCGCACATCAAGATGTAGCTTTGCACCCCTCCAACCGAAAACCGTCAAACCTAAACTCGCAGCAGGACGGGACACCCTCCGAAGAGGAGCTGCGGAACGAAAATCGCCGGGGCGGCTTGCATGGCGACCTCTGTGCAGTCTATGACCAGTACTAGTAATACTACTCGTACTCCTACTAGCACTACTAGTGCTATTAGTACGACTAGCACTACGCAAACTAGGTGCCGGCGTCTGTACGGGGCCGTGCGCTGGGAGCCATTTTTTTGTTGGCGGCAGACGGCGGCGAGGCCAAAACTCGAGCGAAACGCGCGTTTTGTTGAGATCAAGAGCTTTCGCAGGTGCCGAAAACACTAGAAGCTGAGAGGAACTTTTTGCGAAAATGCCATTTTCCCATGCGTTTGTGTGCATTTTCAAGGCTTTTTTTTTCGCAGGGTCTTCAATATTCAAAGTTTCGGTATTTTTTTTGCTGCAAAATCGTGCTCTCGCCACAGCGCGGGCGCGTTTTGGACTGTGAGCATCTTGGGTTTTCAAGTTCTCTTTTTGCAGCTACTGCTATTTGTCAGGGATCGCCGCGAAGACTTTTGGTTTCAACATCGTGCTCTCTCCACAGCGGGGGCGCGTTTTTCGCTGTAAGCATCTTTAGTTTTGGGACGCCTGCTGTGGGTTTTCATGGCTGGGGATTTCAGTCTTGGAGTTATTTCTTCAGAACTTTATTGGAGAACGATCTTTAGGGCATTGTGTAGGCTTCAGGGATAGTCACAGAAGTCCTAAATCTTGAAACCCTAACCTTGTGTGAATGGGAGGCCCAAAGAAGAAGGATAACAGAGCTGGATGATCTTTTCAGGCAGCCTTTGCGAGAGCCCCCAAGTGCTGCAGCAGACTTGCAGTGCCGATATGTCGGCGCCACAATGCACAGCAGTAGTACTAGTAGCACTTTGTTGTCCTTGTTGTTACCTTGTTGTTGTCGTTGTTGTTGTCGCACAAGAACGTCATTACACCCCACCCCCCCCACCCCCCCACCCCCCCACCCCACACCCCCCACCCCACCCCCCCCACCCCACCCCCTCACCCCCCCGCAAGAGATTTGGGACCCTACTGCCTACTTGGATTTCTGCTTTCGGGGCCTGAGCACAACAAGCGCAATTTCGAGGCCTGAGCACAACGCAGCAGTAGTACTAGTAGTACTTTGTTGTTGTTGTTGTCGCACCAGAACGTCATTACACCCCACCCCACCCCCCCACCCCACCCCCCCACCCCACCCCCCCACCCCCCCCACCCCCCCCACCCCACCCCCACCCCAGCCCAGTACAAAATGTGCTCCACCGCACGGCCCCGTACAGGCGCCGCCTCCTCAAACTAGTAAACTCTACTAGACTACATACTACTGGTTAGTACTGCTTCCCTCCCTTCATTCGTCCTTCCCTCCCTCCCTCCTGTGTTTCTTCAGCGGGGTCGGGGTCTGCGCTTCAGGGTTTCTTGCCGGGTTCTCACCCCATGCAAAGCCTAGGATACCCAGTAACCTAAGAATAAAAAGGCCTCTCTTTTTGGTATTGGGTAACTTTATAAGGAACCTAGGACTACGAAAAGGGAATAAGGGTACTACTGGGCATCGTAGAAGCTCTCTCTCGCTCTCTCTCTCTCTCTCTCTCTCTCGCTTTTCCTTGCTCGGAGAGGGCAAGGGCCGTGTCGACAAACTTGTGCAGCTACTTGAATGCGGCATGAACGCCCACTCATGACCGTACCTCGAACTTGATGTCGCAGTGCTCAAAACCCGAAACCCCAAAATGTGTGGCAGCCAGCCTCTGCATTGGCGGCCACTGAGCCCACCAGCAGCGCAGTGGATGCAGCCGCCGTGCCCGTCAGCCTTGCTGGTCACTGGGCGTGCTTTTGCACATGGATCTTTCTGTAGTGTTGAGTGTCAAAAGGGCCATGGGCGGATGCAGAGATTGACGGGTTTGGTATTCAAGCGGCTACGACTACCTGTGAGCCTTCAGGTGAAGCCTAGAACCAACACCAGAAAGCACCCCCAAAACGAAAGACTCCTCCAGGTTCAGGGCTCTGATCCTTCCCACAAACAGGGCTTAGGCGGTTTAGGGCCGTTTAGGGTTGCAGGGTTGAGGGTCTTCAGGGTTGTCCTGCCTAGATTGTCTACTCTTCAAGCTCATGATGAAAGTGATACTTTCGAGGCATCCAAAACCCTGAACCAAACATTACACCTGGAAGACCTAAACCAAAAACCCGTAAATCCTAAACCCTAATTAAACCCCTAAAGCCTGTAAGGCCTAAATTTTTAAGCCCTAAACCCTAAACTCCAAGCCCTCTTTCGAGTCCAGGAGTCAGAAAAACCCCATAGTAGCCTATATGCCTGCTGGGCCGAGGCTGGGTGCGGGGGTTTAGGCGGGCTTAGGCTTAAAGTTTAGGTATTATGGTTCTTAGGGTTTCAGGGTTTAGGGGCTTCGCAGTTAAAGTTTAGGGTTTCTGGCGCAGGGGTTCAGGGTTTAGGGGCGTAGCGGCTTGAGTTTGAGGTTTAGGGCTTAGGGTTTGGATTTTTGGGCTACAGTAGAAGCCAGAAAGTTGGAATATCATTATCATAGTCCCTTCAAGGTAAAATATAGGGGATCCCGCCATTATTCCATATTCCAACTTTCTGGAGTTCCCTTTAGGATCGTGTCGGCTTCGGGTTTACGGTTCAGGCGGAACACGGGACTTCACTTTGCAGATCTTGCTCTGGCCCTTGCCCTGCACTGTTACCTGGAGGATCATGGGACTTAGCAAGTAAGGTTATAAGTACCTTAATTGGGGTTATAAGTAGTCATAAGTATAGTTACCTTGGTTATAAGCCCACTTACTAAGTCCCATGATCCTGTAAGTAGCCTGTGAGCCGAAATATCAGCCGAATCCAATACTTTACAACAACCTGGAATGAAAAAATGAAACCCTGAAACCTTAGCCCCTAATCGCCTAAACCCTAGACCCCAAGCCCTGAGAGCAAAATGCCGACCATGCCGCCAAAAGATGAGAACGAAAAAGAGGAAATTACCTCATCAGGTGTTGGTCAACACCGAAAGGCTTAGGGCTCAGGGGCTCTAGGGTTTAACGTCACCCCCTCACCCCCTGCCCGGGGGGGGTCGGGTGTATGGTGTAAGTGTAGAGGTGTCGGAACCCCAGAGTCGAAATAGACGGTTGATGATAGAAATCCTGCATTACCCTAAGGACCCTAAACTATGGGAATTAGGGTATATTCCTTAATATGGGTAATGCAGGCTTTCTATCATCAACCGTATCATGGTCGCTCTGCTTACCTTTTTTGCAATACACCAACCTCAGGAAGAAAAAGAGTCTTGGAATCTTAAGCTTAGCATAGGGGTTTTATGAAGGTTCAGAGTGTAGGAGTGTAGGAGAGCAGAATCAAGCCCTCATCTCGCGACTTCGTTTTTTTGAAGAATCAAGCTCCATGGTACCGCGACCCACGCAACCCTCTTTCAGGGGTGTAGGGTTAACTGTACTGAACTTAGAACCCTAGCAAAAATTATAATTTTAGCTGTTTCTTAGGGATTATAATAACCAAAAATTAAAAAATATTTCTAAGTACGCCTAAGTTAAGGGTTCCGGGTTCAGCATGTAGCAGTCCTGAGGCCCTACGCCCTCAGAGGTCGAACTGCGTTTGGATCACGGACTGGCCGAACCCTGAGAGCCCAATACCCCTTGATTAAGGGATATGGCTTAAATCATAATATGAAGCCCTATATAATGTAAGCCATATTCCTTAATTAAGGGGTATGGGCTCTCTGGGAATCTGAAAAGAACGAATTTCCAGGCAATGCGGGGGGGGCGGGAGCAAAAGCTGGGGTGTAAAAAGACCTGGCAGTTTCTGCCAACAGCTGCTACTGCGTAGATGTACAGAACTACCAACAGCAGCAGGGCCGTTCCAGGTCTGGAGTAGCAATCACTAAGGTTTGCGGTTTAACTACAGTATTCGTAGATTGCTGCAGGCCATCATCAGCTGATACAACCCATTAGTGCTCTACGGGCTTTCGCTGTACTCGATTCTTTAGTGAAGGTCCTAAATGCCGTGGTTGTCACAGTTTCGTAACATCTTACAGTGTTATGGTTGCGTAAAACACAAGAAGCCACCCCTACACCAACCAAAAACCCTAAACCCTAACCCCCTAAAATGGGGGCCTTAATAATTGTTTCAGATTTTTTGGGGCCATTGTATAAACTGATCGACTTCTGATACTATCCAGCCATGGACTGCTTTACCTACTTGTCCAGTATCCCAGCGGAACTCAATCCTATAACCTTTGGGACTATATGGGAGTTTCCGAAATTTAGGGGTACCTTATTTGGGGGGTCCTTATAATAAGGATCCTACTATTTCGGGTACTTTATTAGGGTCCCCTACTTTCGGAAACTCCCATATGGGGATTATGGTACCCCACAAATGTTTAAGGTTACTGCTAGGCTACTGATCTCCATAGCAAAGGAAGAAGGCTCGTTGCGTGACTTCGTCCATCATCCACACAGCACATACATCCTAACCGAAACCGACAGTTCATCCCAGATCAACAATTACCCGAACACCCCTGTATAATGGCCCTAAAAGTGCGAAGGCCCCTTCTACCCCAAACCCAAAAACTCAAAACCTAAACCCCTAAACCCTAAACCCCTAAACCCCTAAACCTCTAAACCCTAAACCCCTAAACCCCTAAACCCCTAAACCCCTAAACCCTAAACCCCTAAACCCTAAACCCCTAAACCCTAAACCCTAAACCCTAAACCCCGAAACCCCTAAACCTCTAAACCCTAAACCCCTAAACCCCTAAACCCCTAAACCCTAAACCCCTAAACCCTAAACCCCTAAACCCCTAAACCCTAAACCCTAAACCCCGAAACCCTAAACCCCTAAACCCTAAACCCCTAAACCCCTAAACCCCTAAACCCTAAACCCCTAAACCCTAAACCCTAAACCCTAAACCCCTAAACCCCTAAACCCTAAACCCTAAACCCTAAAACCCCTAAACCCCTAAACCTCTAAACCCTAAACCCTAAACCCCTAAATCCTGAACCCCCAAACCCTAACTAAACCCCTAAACCCTAACAAAACCCCTAAACCCCTAAACCCCAAACTAAACCCCTAAACCCTAACAAAACCCCTAAACCCCGAAACCCTTAAAGCCTAGAAGGCCCTCTAAACTTTGCCTAGGAGCCGTGGAGGCCCATGAGCCAGTAGGCGCTCGTCCAGCAGATCGCTGCGTTCAGCAACGACTGGGGCAGCCTGGGTTTCTCGTTAACTTAAGTTACCATAGTAAAAAACCGTAATAAAGAAACCATAATAATAAAAAAACATAAAAAAACCATAATAACGAACACGTAATAAAGAAATCTGTAATAAAGGAACCATAAGATCTATTATAGATCCCTATTACGGTAACTTAAGGAATTTAGCCTAAGTTGCCATGATAAAGAAACCATGTCATTTAAGTTACCATAATAAAGCAACCACAATATTTATTATAGATCCCTATTACGGTAACTTGAAATTCCTAAACCCTTAAAGGAACCCTTATACATCCCTCAAAGGAGCCCATAAAGATCCCTATTATGGATACTTGAATTGCGCCCAGCAGCTCCACTAAGGTCTTCGAGAGGAAATAGGGCACGGCACCTGCAAAGGGCTGAGGGTCTTGGGCTTCGGGCAATTTATGGGGCCATGTTGTGGTTTACGCAACTCGACGCTCGCTAGAAAACTGAAGCCGGCGCCGTAAGTCTGTGTCGCATACTCGCGCAAGAAGATGCCCCGATCCTGCGCGAAGGATTGAGAGGCTTTGTCAGTCTTGAGTTTGGGGCCTGCAGGGGGACGTCTGGGGTTTAGGGTTTCGGCTTTCGGGGTTAGTGTTTGGGGTTTCGGGTTTGTGGGTCTTGAGTTTGGGGTTAGGAGTTCACAAAGTCCATATAACTGAAAAGGACGTGCATGACAACATGGGAGTTTCCGAAAATGGGAGACCCTAATATAGTTATACTACCCTAAAAAGTAGGATCCTTGTTGTAGGGACACCAATAAGGTATCTCTAACTTTCGGAAACCCCATATCAGGACCTGGCAGGGTGCTGGAGCAGAGCCTGTTCCAACTGAAGGCTCTGAGCCCAAACCCTAAGCCCTAAAAGCTGAACTCCACATATGGCAGCAGCTTCGGGAGTAGAAGTAGGAGTAATGGCAGTAGTAGTACGTAGCAGTAGTAGTCGTCGTCGCTGTCGCGGTCGTCGTCATAATCGTCGAGGTGGTGGTGGTGGTGGTGCTGGTGCTGGTGGTGGTGCTGCTGCTGCTGCTGCTGCTGCTGCTGCTGCTGGTCGTGGTGGGCGTGGTGGTCGTGGTGGTCGTGGTGGTCGTGGTGGTCGTGGTGGTCGTGGTGGTCGTGGTGGTGGTGGTGGTGGGATGATGGTGGTGGTGGTGGTGCTGGTGGTGCTGGTGCTGCTGGGGTGGTGCCGGTGGTTCTGGTGGTGCTGGTGGTGCTGGTGGTGGTAGGTGTATTTAAGGGGTAGGGGATGGGGTAGTGGTAGTGGTAGTAATGATCGCAAAAGTAGCAATAAGAAAAAGATCAAGAAAACAATCACACTACAATTAATTGGACCAACAAGACCCAACGGCCCCCGGTCCATCGGAAAGCGGAGTAAAAGCGGCTGGGCAATTCCGAAGATACCGCCGATGGCCACCTACTGCGGATCAGCGTTAAGAGCTTGCGTTTTCGAGGGGGGCTAGGGAAGTTTCGGGTGTAGGCTTTGGGGGGGTGGGTTTGAGGGTTGTAGCGTTCAGGGTTTAGGGCTTTGTGGGCTTAGGATTTGAGCGTTTGGCGGTTTAGGGCCGCCCAAGAACAGAAAATTTGTATAGAAGGCTTCAAAAGGGTCCGGTGGTGTCTCTAGGCGCTTTCTGCGAGGCGCTGAGGCTTTCTTGCTGCTAGGGTTCAGGGTTTAGGGTTTGGGGTTTCGGGTTCAGGGTTTGGAGTTTAGGGTTCAGGTTTTGGGGGTTTGTTCTCGGCGTCCGATAATCAAAGGTAAGGGCCTACGTAGTCAGGAGAACGTTGCGAGACACATCATACTAGCTTCAAGTACATATCGGCCTGCCCAAGAAGTTTAGCTTCCCAAGGCTGGCCCTTGGAGTTGAAAGCTGGCCCTTGGCCTTGAATAAACGCTGACTGTACTACCCAAAAGGTTGAGCGTGGTTCACCGGACACCTTCGTATGGGACTCGCTGTATAGAGGAGCAGCATCACTCTACCCCAATCAAAACTCTCGATGGCAAAACCCATGAGCCATCAACCCCCGGGCGTTTAGCCTAGGCGGCTTGGAGCTAGTCCGTCCTGGCCTGAAACAAGCCTCCAAAGTGGGCAAAGGCGGTATAGTCTGCAGCGTTGACGTCTCCGACCTGGAAGAAGATCAGCGCGAAAAGCCTGAGACTTGGAATGCAGGAGCTTTTAGAGGGCATAGGGGTTTTTTAGGGTTTTTTTCTGTTTAGGGTTTAGGTTGTATGCAGGGTTGAAGAAATAGAAGGGTCTACAGGCTTGTGTAAATGCGTGTAACAAAGCTTTTCAAAACGGTTTCTTGTACTAGTAGGTGTTGACTGAGGGCTCTTTTCCCTGCACCCTAAACCCTAAGCCCTAAACCCTAAACCCTAAATCCTCAAACCTAAACCCTATAAATCCTAAACCTAAACCCTAAATCCTAAACCTAAACCCTAAATCCTAAACCTAAACCCTATAAATCCTAAACCAAGAAAAGCAATTCTCGGCTCAGGGTCCCATCCCCCAAACGCTAAACCCTAATCAAAACTCTTGGCTGTCCAGTACCCCAGGGTTAGGTTTAATCTTATTGTAGTAACCTCAAAGAGGTAGGAATTTAATCTTATTGTAGTAACCTCAAAAGAGGTAGGAAGGCCACCTACTATACTACCAGGAACGCTGACCTCAGGCTTCCGATTTTCGTCCAGTGCAAGGCTTAAGGGGTTCATTGGGGCTTAGGGCGCAGATCCAAGCAGCTTGCGAATGATTGTTCTCACGCATTGGCGTGGAATGTGCTCGAGACCCGGAATTCGAAACTTGCCAAAATCCGGAGCTTCGCAACCCTAAACCCTAAACCCTGCCTTGACACGGTGTATACGTTTCACACTACCCGGCCGGGGCGCAAATTGAGCACGGCCGGCATAACCACGGACCTGAGGAGCATCTAGAGTGTACGGCTTCAACCTTCTTAGGATTATGGATCGAGTCCATGCGCCTCCACACTAAACCCCAGACTGAAAACCCTAAACCCTGCCGTTTGGTGTTGGGAGGTTGTATGTGCATATGGCACAAGCAAGTCTAGACTCTACACTCTACACCGCAACCACAAACCCCAAACCACCCCTAGAGGAACCCCGTAAAGGAACCCCTTAAAGGATCCCTTAAAGGATCCCTTATCGGATCCCTTAAAGGAACCCCTTAGAGGCACCAACCAACTAAAGGCTTAGAGTGGGGCTGTGGCACCTGGCCCCCAGCCGGGAGCGTGGAGATTCTGGTTGGCGGAAGGAGAGAAGTTCAGGAAACAAGGCCTACTTGTCGGGTATGATGGGGAACTAAAGGTTATATAACCTTTTTGGTTACATAGGGACTATATGAGGACTATACTACCCAAAAAAGGTTAAAGGTTGCCTACTCTACTACTAGGAAGGCCCTTCTATGTTTTCCGTTACAGTAGGGTTTAGAAGTTTCGGGTTTAGGATTTAGAAAATGAGGGACCTGTAAAACCCCAATCACAGGATCCTTCTTCTTTGGACGCCGAAATAAGATACCCGATAGCCTATAATGAGATACCCCGTATGATAAGGACCCCTGAATGAGATGGTCACAGGACTCCTACATAGGACAACCCCGGATTGCGAGGACTGATAAATACGGCACCCTGTATTTCTGTCCCCTGGGTGACGTTTACGTCGGGTCGACGCCTCTCGTCCTGACGCAATGCGTGCAGAGCTTTCGTCCAAGGGTAGAAGGAGGGACCCTTAATAAGGACCCCTAGGTATATACCCTTAAAATAGCCATTCAATACCCATTATATAGCCCATTATAAGGTAGGGGTCTGCTTTAAGGGTCCCTCCTTTTCCCCTTTGATTTAGGGTGTGCCGATGCAAACCTTGCGAAATCTGTTCAAGCATCATAAACCACAAGTTAGAAGGGGCTCCCACCCTGTAATAGTGACTATAAGGATTATATTCGGGCCCTGTCATATTCCTCTTATACCACTATTACAGGGTGGGGGCCCCTTCTAAACCACAAGTTTCAAAACCATGCCTCGCAAAACCGGCAGCATGACCACCCAAACACAACTCAGACAAGAATTCCCTTTAGACCCTGAACCCTAAACCCTCCCCTAAACCCTCCTAAACCCCAAACCCTAAACTCATAATCCCAGCCGGGTCACGCAACAAGGCCCGGGACATTGCGCCACACCCCTTGGGCCTCGCGCCTTGCCACGTTTAGAGGGTGGCAAGTCTGGTGTCCAGGGTCTACCCTAACCCCAAATAGCCTACCTTTTTCGGGACTTATATAAAGAAATCATATTAGGCGGCCCTAAAAAGGTAGGTTCCTTAGGGTCCAGGTGGAGCTTGGAGTTTAGGGTTTTGCACTTTAGGGTCCAGGGTCTGTACTGCTGTTGGATTTCGGCATGGCTTCGTGGGTTTTGCGGCAGTGGGTTCTTGGAGGGAGATGAGATGCTAAGGTAAGGTTAGCGTCTGAAGTTCGTAAATAAACGTTTCGGCCGGGTTGTGGCTTCCTTGTGGTTTGTTGTTGGCTCTGGAGCGTGAGTGCTGCGTCTGCAATGTCGATGGAGCTGTCGACGGCTTGCAAAGAAACTCGTCCAGTCATTGGCAACCCTAAACCCCTTATCACACAATACAACCGTATGATAATCTGCATCCTTTATGCAAAGCCACTCTAGAACCCTACCTTAATATTGGGGCCTTAATTATTACAATAGGTTTTGGGGCCCATCATACTATTATTTTATGAGCCCCCAAAATAGTATCGGTGAGTATTAAGGTCCCTACATTATTATTACCTTACCCAGATGCATCGAGCGGCTTGGTCAGCGACCACAACTGCAAGCAGAATCCGGCAGTCCGTCCCTGCGCAATGATCCGACTCTTCTCCTTGCTCAGGGCTCGGTTTTTTTTTTAAACGGTTTAGGGTTTAGGGTTTGGGGTTTAGGGTTTAGGGTATAGAGTTTAGGGTTTGGGGTTTAGGGTTTGGGGCTTAGGGTTTAGGGTTTAGGGTTTGGGGTTTAGGGTTTAGGGGTTTAGAAAGCCTGCAGAATAATTACAATTATCACTCATTTGAGCTGCCTACCATGAGTATACTATGTACGCTACGATGCCAGACACCCCTTTACAAGTTACCAAGGCCACTATATTAGGTGCTTGTGGAAGGAATTCTATCTTTGAAGAACGGAGATGGAGCATGCAAGGTCCAGGATAGTCTGGTTTGCCTTTATGGCTCGATAGTAAATAATACGGTTTCTTTATTATGGTGACTTAGATTGTAGAACTCCCATCCCAAAGGGTGCTAGGTACTGTTGTGGTGAAGCTTTCGGAATGCCTATGGGCCTGGGGTTGAGAGTTCAGGGTTGTTCAGGGCCCCATTGCTTGAAAGAGCGGATGGACTTCAACACATTTACGACGGTCTCCGAGGTTTGCAATGTGGTTCAGTGGGTTTCGGAAACTGGGTTCAGCAAGCTTCATATATGGGCTTTTAAAAGCCCTAAACCCATCTCTTGCTTTGATGGGTCTTCAGACGCTCGCCGCCAACACTTAGAATTTAGGGGTTCTAGCGATGTCTAAGTCCTACCTTGAACTACCAAACCCTACAGGTTTTGCAGGGTGTTTATCACTTTGTGCTGGCTCCTGCTCCTTTGTTGGTAAGTTTTCGTTATCAACCCAAATATATTTTTTCTGTGCTACTCTACCCGACAAGTAAGCTTCGGGTGGTTCAAGCCGGTTTCCCTGAGGATCGGCCGAGCTCTGCGAGTCGGGGGAAGACCCTCAGCTCGAAACCTCATCAACCCCGAAGCCCAGCTGTTTGGGGTTGAGGACTTAGGGTTTAGGGTTTAGGGTTCAGGTTTAAAAAAAAAAGGTTCAGGGTTTAGGGTATAGGGTTTTGGGTTTGGGGTTCAGGTTTAGGGTGGGTTTAGGGTTTAGGGCCAAGTAGGCCTTATCAACCCCTGAACCCTACCCCGAACCAGAAATTATGTTGAATAATAGCCATTGTATGAATGCTGGGCTAGTATTTTACCCACTTCTCGGGGCTGGTGTAAGCCCTGACCTACACCCTGATTGAACCCTAAACCTTACGTAAACCGTAAACCCCTTTTAGGCCCCTATATCATAGTATCCTTCTAGACCCCTTATAGTAGCGCTTGTAGACCCCGACTTCAGACTCCATCATGGTACCCTTACGATCCCTTATAGTCACCCCTATGGACCCTAGTTCAGACTCCACAAAAAGGCCGGGACACCCGGGTGACCAGCTCGTCGTCCTCCTCCGCGACCTCCGGAAGCCACTTCGTTGCCGGTTCTTCCACTTGAAAGCCATCAGGGTTAAAGTTTAGGGTTTGGGGTTTAATGTCGGGGTTGGCTTAAAGCCTTGAGGAGCCAGGTTGAGAGGTTTAGGGGTTTCGGGCTTAGGGTCTTAGAGTTGAGGTTAGTGTTTAGGGGTTGGGGGCGTGAGTGTTTCAGGGTTTCGGCTTGAGGGTTTCAGGGTCTTTTGGATCATCGGTTAGGGGTCCTGCTGAGAACTTCAAAGCTGCAAGCTAAACAACCCCACCTCAATGCCTTGATGCTCAATCCCCCCACTTGGAGGGTCGGGGGACTTAGTGAGTAGGCAGTAAGTAGACTTATAAGTACCCTAAACGGGACCCCATTTGGGGTTATGGTACTTATAAGACCCTACAATAACCAGCTACTAAGTCCCCCCACCCTCCAAGCATGACTTCCCACAGAAGATGGAGCAGCCAATCGCCAATAGCAAATGCCAAGTAATGCGTGGTTTAGGGTTTTTAGGGTTTAGGGTTTAGGGTTTACCGCCTTCCAGGCAAACTTGCTGTGCATGAGCTCCAGATTTGTCTCCGACTCCTTCTGCAGGAGGAACATTACCTGGCACAAAGGCTTTTCAGCCACGGGACAGCAATGGTCCGGTACAAAATACTGTAAGGGCCGTAATAAGTAGAATAGGGTTTTGGGGCCCATTATACTATATTTGTAATATGGAACCCCAACAACAGTAAAGGTAATTATTAAGGCCGCTATATTACGTTGTGGCCATGGTGTTGGGAGTTGATGATGAACACGATTGCGGCAGCAGTGGCTTGCACTTCAATTGCTTCTGGCTCTTGTTAGAAGACCTGGGGAGAAGAATCCTCATTAGAAACCAAACGATAAGGAACTAAACCCTAAAACAACAACCACTTACGGAGCAGAACTACCCGAAACTGCACCTTGAAGCGAAAACGCCTTGGGCCCTGCTGCCCTCCGAAATCCTGAAGCCGCAGGCCCTAAGCTGCGTGCTAAATCAATCCTTACAGCGCAAACCCTAAGCCCACAGCCGCAGCAGCCGGGGTGCATGGTCGGCGAGGTTGTACTCCGCCGGACATGCATGGCCAACTCCTTCGCGATTTAGGGTTTGAAGCTTAGGGTTTACTGCGGGGTTACGGTTTAGGGTCACAGGGCAAACCATTTGGGGTTTAGGGCAATATGGTTGTACTGTTTAAAGCTATATGAATATGTTGCTTAGGGCTACATGGTTTAAGGCTTGGGGTTATACGATGTAGGGCTTACAAGTATATGGTCATGTGGCAGGGTTTCGGGGTTTGGGGATGTAGGGTTTAGCGTTGCGCAGCTTAAATTTAAGGTTTAGGGATGTTTAGGGGTAATCTTTCTTTGCCCCGCCTATCCGGCAGGGTTACAGAACTTCGGGTTTGGGGTTTCGGTTTAAGGTTCGGGGGTTTAGGGCTTAGGCTTCCAATCCAAGCCTTTGGGAATTTCGGTTTCGTCCCAGCGATCACTCAGCATCAAGTCTTCAAAGCCTTCATAGATGATCAAGGCAACCCTGTCCAGCAAGTCGACCATAGCTCGAACAGCTCCCGGCCTGAACGAACCAGGCCCAATGTTTCGAAAATTAGGGGTACCTTTATTTGGGGGTCCCTATAAGAACGATCCTACTATTTAGGGTACTATGTTAGGGTCCCCCATTTTCGGAAACTCCCATGTCCATAAACCGCCTGGCGTTGCGCATTGCAGCATCATGCAGGCAAGTGAGCCATAAACGATTAGCCACGTGGGTGGCCAAATTCCCATAGGATCCGATCCTGCAAGCTTTGCAGGTGTCCGGACGATTTGTCGCCCTTTCAAACCCAGACAAGGGAATTTTCTCGCGACCAGGATTCACGCAAGAGGTAAGCCATGTCTGGAGCCTGATCGCATTTTGATCTGCCTTTAGCAGCTGGCGAGCCTGCGTGTTTTTCTCCACTCAATCTGCAATGGCGCCTATGTTTTGAGGCAAACCTTGCGGATTGACGTCCATTTCTTTTGGCTTTGGAGCAACATCTTTGGCGATGAGCTTGTAGAGCTCGCCAAGATCGTTAAACACGGGCTTGCACCAGGCAACTGCTCGAAAAATGTTTCAACCAGGCTCGGAGTCTGTCGACCCTAGTACAAGCCACTCTCGCAGTCTCTCTTCCCATCAGCTGGCCCCACACCTTCAACGCCGCACCGGAAGAAACCAAAAAGCATCAGGAAACATGTATGCCCCCCTCTGCTCTGTCTGGGCACATAGCCCCGTGAAGTTCAAGATAACCTTCGAGAATAAGACACCCGATAAGACTAAGAAAAGGCCTCAAACCCAGAGCAACAAGAAACTTACAAAACCGGATCCACAATCCTTGAACCATCCCCAAACCCTCAACCCCGAAACCGTTGACCCTAAACTCCCCCCAAACTCCCTAAATTCCCTAAACTCCCTAAACGCGCTAAACCCGCAAACCCATGAACCCTAAACCCCTAAATCTTAAACCCCTAACCCCTAAACCCTTAACCCTAGCCCCCACAAGCCGTAAACCCCTAAACCCTAAACCCCCCAAATCCTAAACCCCCAAACCCGGAACCCTAAGCCCTGAACCCTAAACTCTGAACCCCAGATCCTAAACCCTTAAACTGAAACCCTAAGCCCTAAACCCCCCCCCCAAACCCTAAAACCCTTAAGCTGAAACCCTAAACTCTGAACCCCTACACCCTGAACCCCAAGTCCAAAAAAGGAGACCACGACACGACGGAGGAGGATCCTGCGAGCTCCCGGGAGAGGTTCTGCACCATGCCGAAGAAGAAGAGTCGGCCTTTTGAGAGTTGAGGGATGAGGGCTTAGATTTAAGGTTTAGGATTCAGGATTTAAGGTTTCGGATTTAGGATTTAAGGTTTAGGATTTTAGGGTTCTAGGGCTTCATAGGGGTTTGAAGACTAGGAGCTGAGGGATTTTTGGTTTTGGGCTTTCTTGTTCCGGGTGGGCGTGAAGCTTCTACAAGGCGTCTATAAGTCTATAACCATTACCCAGATCTGAAGCCCTAAACCCTAAACCCCAAACCCCCTAAACTGAGGTTCTTAGGATCAGGGCGCGAAGGGTGTTCGGATCGAGGTTGCAGGCCGTTCTCTTTTTCGACGGAGGGTTCGTACTTGCCCTCCTGTGGTTCAACGGTAGACTTGGGCTTCCGGTTTCTGGCTTTAGCATCTAGGAGGATGCAGTGAGAACGAATCTGAAACTTCCTGTCTAAATCATACACCAATGTACGGAGCCTCAGCAAACTCGCGGGTTGTTCACCCACCCGCCCCGTTTAATGCACTAGGCTTTTGGGGCTTTATACATTCTAACTACATCAGGCGGGAAATGTAAGGAATACACTTGCTCATTACTCACGCTCCTAAATTATAACACTAGACAGTACCTGGTACCCTGAACCCTTGAAGTGGCGGGGGGGCTAGGGAGTAAGAACTGCGGGTCATACAAACAACAATGACATATCGTTACAACGATGACAATAATGGTTGTAGCAATAACGGGAAAGTACTGGTAATCGTTCACAAGCAAAGACCAGCAAATGCCCGTGCCTGCGTGGAGCAGCATCACCTGGCGTCACTGGGTCGAGGACTAGTTTTGAAGCTGTCGATGTTGGGCTTGGGGTCCATGTTTCTGCTCAGGGATTTAGAAGCTCGCCGCAGATGCAAAAGGTTCCTGGACGGCGCGTGTCTCTCAGGGCATTATGGAACTAAGAAGTCTGGACTCTACGCTCTGGTGTCGAAACACCGCGATATTGCACCCGAATCTCAGCACAGGAAATGCAGAAAGCTGCAAAACCATCTAAGGCCTAAACCTAAACCCTCAACCCTAAACCCTAAGCCCCAAATCCTAAACCCTCTGGCACGGTGCCGGCCTTGTTAAAGAGGTGGAACACTTCCGAGGACGGCCTGGGTTTCATAGCTTGCGGCTCGGAGGGTTAAAATTTAGGGTTCAGGGTCAAGGAATCAAGGGGTCTATCGTTTGGGGTTAAGGGGTTTAGGGTTTGGGCACCTCAGGATTCGGGGGTATAACACACTATAATTATACCAACGAACCCATTCGGGGGTATAACACACTATAATTATACCAACGAACCCATTCGGGGGTATAACACACTATAAATATACCAACGAACCCTTTTGGGGGTATAACACACTATAATTATACCAACGAACCCATTCGGGGGTATAACACACTAGAATTATACCAACGAACCCATTCGGGGGTATAACACACTAGAATTATACCAACGAACCCATTCGGGGGTATAACACACTATAATTATACCAACGAACCCATTCGGGGGTATAACACACTAGAATTATACCAACGAACCCATTCGGGGGTATAACACACTATAATTATACCAACGAACCCATTCGGGGGTATAACACACTATAATTATACCAACGAACCCATTCGGGGGTATAACACACTATAATTATACCAACGAACCCATTCGGGGGTATAACACACAAAATTATACCAACGAACCCATTCGGGGGTATAACACACTATAATTATACCAACGAACCCCAAAATAGTAGTATTGAAATTGGGAATTTCTTAGCCCGGCTACGTAGGCCCCTGTACTGTTCATGGCCTTCGACTTGGGGGCGCTGCGTCGTTCTGCACCCGATGCCCCCATCCTTTCCTTAAAAGGGGTCATGGGGGTAGAGAAATCAAGGTTTAGCAGGAGTGGTGTTGCTCCCTAGACTCCCAATGCATGCTATCTTGACTCAGTATGTACGTCTATATTGTAGTTATCCCCATAAGATGGCCCAAAACCAATCCCTGATCCCTAATAAGTCAAGAGAGTGTCCAAGTACTTGGAGGGTCGGGGGACTTAGTAACTGGTTATTTTCGGGACTTATAAGTAACATAACCCCAATTAGGATCCCTTTTAGGGTACTTATAGGTCTACTTCCTACCTACTTACTAAGTCCCCCGACCCTCCAAGTAGACCTTACACCCCAGAGGCTCCAGACTCTGTAGTCCCTACAACTACAACCCCAAACCCGTAAACACCCAAACCTCTTGAAACCCGAAACCCCAAACCTTAACCCCCCCCCCGCCCCGAAACTGCAGTAATAGGGGCCTCAATAATTACCTATACTATTTTGGGTGTTCTTTATTATGATTAGAGTATATTGGGCCCCCAAAACCCTATTCTAATTATTGAGGCCCCTATATAGGAGTTTCCGAAAATGAGGGGTACCTTATTTTGAGGTCCGTATAGTAAGGATGCTACTATTTAGGGCACTACATTCGGGTCCCTTATTTTTGGAAACTCCTATATTAGCACGTCGGGAGGCTGGTGGATGGTGCAGAGCACATTGCAGCCTTCCTTTGCCGCGAGGTCCCGCAGCTTCTGGATCACGTTCTGCGCCTGGGCCCCCAGATGGGAGTTATCGAAAATTAGGGGTACCTTATTTAGGGGTCCTTATAATCAGGATCCTACTATTTAGGGTACCAATATTAGGGTCCCCTATTTTCGGGAATTTTCAGATGCAGGTTTCTCAATCCTAATGTGACTTGGATCCTAGTGGCCAGCGTTTGCAGAATGAGTCGGCTAAGGGTGTAGACTCGGTGTGGAGCCGGAGATTGCGGGATCAGGGTTTGGGGTTTGAAGTAGGGATCCGAACTCGCAGCACAAACGTAAAGGCACAACAATACCTACACGCCGTTTGCTTTGCGCTCTGCGGCAACAGCGGGCGCAAAGCAAAGCAACCTTGGAATCAAGAATGGCCAGCTCACCGTAAAGGCCGACGGACGGACGGAAAGTACCGAATGCGTACCCGGTGCAACAAGCTGCCAGTAACGTGCCCCTACGCATGATTCGTTATTGGTAACCAGTAAGTAATGCAAACAGCCCACAAAACTTCAGCACCTCTCACAGAACCTTCAGCCGCTTACACCTGCCACTTTTTGCGTTGCTGCAGCAGCTATGGACCGCATCAGCCACATTCCAGCAGCAATCGCACGATCTCGCCGTGGCCTTTCTTAGCAGCTAACTCGGAGGGCGTTTTGCCCGAGCGGTTCGGAACATGCTTGTCAAAGCCGGCCCCCAAGAGCAGGCGGACGACTTCCAGATGGCCATGCTCCGAAGCCGCACACAAGGCCTCATTATCATCGGGGTCGTTGGCTTCGTGCCGGGCACCAGCTTCCAGCAGTACCCTCACGACCTCGACCCGACCAATTTCAGCTGCTGCCAGTAAAGGCCTCTCCCGTGGTCCCACTTCAGCGCCGGCCTCCAACAACAGGCGCAGAACCTCCACTTTGTCCGAGACGGCTGCAAACCAAATGGGCCTCTCAAAGTAGGATTCGGGCTTGAGGTTGGGATCCTGTGGCCTCTGCAGGACTTCTTCGACCTCTTCCACTTGGCCATGGGCAACCTGTACTGAACTTAGAACCCTAGCAAAAGTTATGATTTTAGCTGCTTCTTAGGGATTATAATAGCCAAAAATGAAAAATATACTAAGTACCCCTAAGCAACGAGGTCCACGAAATCTTCCACCTCCTCGATGCTGGCGCTGCAGAAAGGTAGCACCAGCAGCTGAAGATCAGTTGGCACTGTGAATCTGGCGTCCTTGGGTTGGTGATATAAATCCTGCATTACCCATAATAAGGAATATACCATAACTCCCATAGTTTAGGGTCCTCTTAAGGTAGTGCAGGATTTATATCATCAACAGTTGGCTCTTCAGCTTCGAAGAGGAAATACAAGTTGCCCCTGCACGAACCTGTGAGCTGACGGCAAAAGAAAACGACAAGGCCCTGAGCCGAATATCAGGGAATTAGGGATACCTTATTTGGGGCCTATATAATAAGGATCTACTCTTAGGATACTATATTAGGGTCCCTGTTTTTTAAAAGATTCCTGTCCCTAAACCTTAGGTACGGCCCCCATACAGTAAGAGTCTATAATAGGGCTACGATTAAGGTCCTACTATATCTATATTATGAATATTATTCAACTATTACTGAGTGGGACTCCAATATCCCTTAATTAAAGAATATTCCTTAAATCATATTAGGGATCCTACTATAACTTAAGGTATATTCCCTAATTAAGGGATATTGGAGTCCCCGGGATTCCTAACCCTAAACCCCTTAAAGCCTTAACTAAGCCTAAACCCTGAACCCTAAACCCCTTAACTAATCCTACACCCTAAACCCTAAACCCCCTAACTAATCCTAAACCCTAAACCCCGCAACTAATCCTAAACCCTAAACCCTAAGCGAACAAAAACGAGAACTGACCGGCTGACCGAGCATCATCCGGCAAGCTCTCACCCCCGGAGAGCAGCCTCTGCCTGAATCGGGAGACCCCACAGAGCCTGGGCTTTCAAGCTTTTTTGGGGGGTTTAGGGTATCAGGCTTGTGGCTTTAGGGTTTAGGTCTTTAGGGCTTAGGATGTCTTCTTGCGCAATGGCAGATAATCCATGCATTCCACACACCAGGGTTTTTGATGGGTTTTTGGGTGGCGGCATCCTTGGGGTCAGGCGACCTCCCTTCTGTGCTGTGGTAGAACTGGTGAAACCGGACCGTTTACATAGGCTCCACCCATCGTTTGCCCCAATGCGGGTGTAAAGGCTGTCCAGTTATGGGTGGGAACGGCCGCGGAAGACCGGGTGGGAATTTAGGGTTTTTGGTTAAGGGTACAGAGCCTGGGCTTTCAAGGTTTCTTGAGCTTAGTTGTCCAATACCCTCGAGGAACTAAAGGATAACCTGTGAGATTACACGAGCCCAGAAGCTTGCTAAGGCGCTGCTTCAAGACGCGCACGGTGCTGGCCTCCTGAAGCCCCGACGTGGGACTAGGGCCGTGTAGCGGGCGCCGCGGCTTTGGTACCCTAAACTCGAAACCCCTAATCCTAAACCCTAAACCCTAAACCCTAAATCCCTGAACCCAAAGCCGTGGTATAAATCTATGCCTACTCTCAAATCTCCTTTTCAGGCCTTCTGTTGCGGTGGCCATGTGGACTCAAGGCGCGCTTTGATGTTTCTCTCTCTACCGAACCCACGGGTACGTGTAGTGGATAAACTGGAATAGGGTTTTGGTAGGCCTTTGGCTAGACTTATGATGCGGAATGCACAGAATAGTAGTACTACACATTCAAAACAAGGTATCTTAAAGCATCATTCTGAATTTAGGCTTGGGGCTTGGGGGTTTAGGGCTTAAAGCCTGAAGCGTGCTACCTGGAAGTTCGGCTGACTTAGCAAACCTACTCAAATCTACTAAGGCATCCCGGAAACCTGAATACCGAAAAACTCATCTGACTAACCATACCTATACTGTCAACAGAGCGTCCAAGCAGACTCTGCAGCCCTGAAACTTGAACCCTAAATTTCAATAAGACTCTCAACCCAAAACCCTAAACCCTAAACCCAAAACCGTAAACCCTAAACCCTGAACCCTAAACCCTGAACGCCTAACTCTAGACCCCAGACCTGAAAACTTTACACGCCCCTCCTCTATGGGAACGGCAGCCACCTCTTCCCCAGAAGCTTTCCAAACACGCAGCATCGGAGCTACGGCCGAGGCTGGGCTGGAGCCAGATATGCTGAAATCGGCCAGCAGAGCTCTCTGTGTCTATGTTTGTAGGTGTATATACATGTGCATATAAATAAATATATATATATATATATATACATATATACATATATATATATATATGTACTACACATACATACATAAACAAAAACACATACAGACATATAGACATATCTACACACATACCTAGACATAATACATGCCCGTATAAACATAGAACATGTACATGCGTAAATGATATCTGTCTGTGTTTCCCCTGAAGGATCACAGGCGAAGAGATGCAGGCTTTGTGCCGGGTCCATTCATGGGATGCGCTGGTTTATCTAATCTTGCAGTGCACGAATTTTCGATCGGAAACCCCTAAAGTGTCCATGCAGACTATACTTTGCACCCATCACGACACCCACAACCTCGTAATGGAGGGCCTTGGTCTAGGGAACAGTATCACTCGTACGTCTGGCTTCTTTGTTACTGCGCTCCTGCAGGCAGACCTGCAATCTCAAACTTCCTAAACCCTAAAACCAAGCCCAACCCCAAACCCTAAACCAAAGCCCTACCCTACCCTAAACGCTAAAACCCTAAACCCAAGCCCTACCCTAAACCCCCAGAAAAATTGCCAAGCATAGGCGCCGCGAAGGAGTCCAACCCAGTCGTCGGCTCGTCCAAAAAGACGAGCTTCGGCTGCCTTTTGGGGCTTATAGGGTTTATAGGGTTTTTTAGGCTTTAGGGTTTATAAGGTTTGGGGTTTGGGGTAAGGTTAGAATTTTTCCCTTCTTAGTTTAGGGTCCCCTTAGTAAAAAAAGACGAATATTAGGAGAAAGGGCACCCTTATTATAAAGGGGCTACTCAGGAACCTAGATTAATATCTAGCTCTAGCAATAGGCCCCTAACCCTAAGCCCTAAACCCTGAACCCGGTTTAATAGGGACTCGTAAAGGATGCGTATAAGGTATATAGTAGGTTAAGGCCCGTACTAGGGGCCATATAGCTTCAACCTTAAGCTTTTGACGGCTTAGGGATTAGCTCAACGCTTCTTGAAGAAAGCAGAGGTCTGTGTAGGGTGTCCGAAAGGGTTCCTCAAAGGAACCTAAGGCCCTAAGGGTTCCTTTCCCATAAGACGGAATATATCGGGTTTAGGGTCAGGCTTCTTCGATTCAGCGAAAGGGTCGCGGGGGTGGGTTTTGACCTCTAGTTAAAACCCACCAGAAGAAAACATTCACACCATCCTAAACCGAAAAGAACTCCAAATCTCAAACCCTAAGCCCCAAAAGCACCAAACAAAACTGGAAAGTCGATGAAAAACCCTCAGTTGAAACCCTGAAAAATCCTATAAACACCCTTAAGTCCCTGAAGAGACCTCCAAGACTGTGTAAGTAAAGTCCGGGCAGCACGATGAGCTCGATCGCCACACAGGTGCGCTTCTTCTCCCCGCCCGAGATGCCCCGGATGAGGTCGTCCCCTGTCTTCGGGAGACCCTACTTAGAAGATCATGGGACTTAGTAAGTGGGGTTATAAATAAGGTAACCATACTTCTAACTGCTTCTGACACCTATTAAGGTGCTTGTACCCTTACTTACTAAGTCCCATGATCCTCCAAGTAAACGGGCTTGGGGATGATCCTTTAGGGTTCCTCTAAGGGGTCTATATGGGTCTCTTATAAAGGTTTGGGGGGTTCAGGGTCGACTTCATGGGGGATTTAGGATGCTTTTTGAGGGCCAGGGTTTAGGGCTTAGGTCTTAAAGCGTTGGAAGTGATATAGGGATCAGAATCAGCCGCCATGTTACTCCCGTTTAGTACCTCAATTACTTTACGATACCCCGACACCCGGTCCCACTTTCTATGTTACCAAGACCCATCTCACGAAAAGACACGGCTTTGTATTTGGGTCTTGCTGGCTGTTTGGTTCCGGATCCCCTAACCATCGGAGCCCTTACAATAAAACCCTTCACCCTGCACCACATCCTGCACCCTACGTCTGGACCCGAAACCCTAAACCGCAAACCCTAAACCTCTAACCCCTAAACCTCTAAACCCCTAACCCCTAAACCCCTAAACCCCTAAACCCCTAAACCCCTAAACCCCTAAACCCCTAAACCCCTAAACCCTAATCCCCACACCCTAGAGCCTTTCTCCTCGACCTATTTTTTTAACATAAAGTGTTGAACCCAAATGAAAAAGACTGGCAATGCCTCCGACCCCTGTACAAGCTGATCAAACCCTAAGCCACAAGCCCGGGACCCCCCAAACCCCTTGATCCAAAGTTCTATAGAAGGGTAGCTCTCTAAATTAGGGTCCCTTTTTGGGTCCCGAAATCGGACGGCACCTTTACGAAAAGGACCCCAGAAGGGACCCTCATTTAGAGAACTGCCCATAAGCTGACCAAACACAAAAACCCCGCTCTCTTGCTGCTGGCAGGCCGATGTAGGTGTCCGCGCACTTCGCCTGGCCCCAGAAAGGCAGCGTAGCGGCTTTAACGGTCCTTCAAGTCTTCACCGCCCCAACCCCAAACCTCCGGATGCCCAGGAGGAGGTCCCAAATTCCGGAAAAAAACCTACTTGGAGGCCCTTTTGACTTAGTAAGGTGGGTTAGTAAGGTGGGTTATGGGGATTATAATAAGGTTTCTGGGGGATACTAAGTAGACTTACTAAGTCAACAGGGCCTCCAAGTAGATGCGTTGCAGAAACGACTGAACTGGATGGGAGTTTCAGAGAACTAAACGAAACACCGAAGTCAGGAGTTGACAATGTCGACCCTAAACGGTAGAACCAGGGGCAGCTCACTTTCAAGTGACGTCCCACCCTTCAAACCCTTACAAAGACCCTAATAACGATTCATTTAGCAACCGCCAGTAAGCGCAGTGGCCCCTAAACCACTCCTGAGAAATACACCAAACCGTGAGGAGACCCAACCAAACATGGAAGCCATTGTTCCGCACTCCACACCCGGATATACCCTAAACCCTAAACCCTAATTCCTAAACCCTAAAAACCCTAAACCCTGAACTCACTGTCTGTAGGATATTCCCTCGCACTTCCCATGCCAGGCGAGACTTTCGGGCTTGGGCCTCAGGGCTTCGGGCTTAGGGTTAAATCCTGAAGCCCTAAAACCCTAAAACCTAAGCCCTAAACCCAGAGCCCTAATCCCTAAACCCTGAAGCCCTAAACCCTAAACCCAAAGCCCTAAACCCTGAGCCCTCAATCGATGTTTACGGCTTTCGGCGTACCAGGCCGAGCTCCATGATCATCTGGTCCACCATGGCACACTTCTCCTCAGGCGGTTTCAGGTCTTGGGGTCTGGGGTTTAGGGCTTAGTTTTCAGGGCTTAGGGAGTTTAGGGTTTAGGGAATTTAGGGAGTTTAGGGCTTAGTTTTTAGGTTTCAGGGCTTTGAGTTTGGGGCCTAGAGCTTCGGGTTTAGGGTTTAGGGCCTAATCCGACCGTAGGGGGTTAGGGCTTGCAAGGCTCTCCGACGTTGGTTTTCCGAGGCCTGCAGCAGATTTTCCAGTTTTGCGAGTCCCGGCAGGATTTGAAATTGGGCTCGAGCGAGGGGGCCGTGGCGGGAAATCGATCATCTCGAAAGGGTTTAGGATTTAGGGTTTAAGGTTTAGGGTTTATGGTTTAGGGTTTAGGTTTAGAGCCCATGTGAGCAGGACAAGCTTCAAAAATTTGGATTTAGTGTGGAGACAACAGCTAGCCTTAAGCCCCACGTGTCAAGGCGATTGGGTCCCTAAACCCCAAACCCCAAAGCCCTAATCAACCCCCAAACCCTAAACCCCTAAAACCCGAAAACCCTAAGCCGTAAGCCGCCCTATAAACCCTATAAACCCCTAAACCCCTATAAACCCCTATAAACCGCTAAAACCCGAAACCCTAACCGGAACCCGCCCTATAAACCCTATAAACCCTAAACCCCGAAGCCCCTATAAACCCCTATAAACCCCAAAAAACCGAAAACCCTAAGCCGCAAGCCGCCCTATAAACCCTATAAACCCTAAACCCCTATAAACCCCTATAAACCCCTATAAACCCCTAAAAACCCCTATAAACCCCTAAAGCCCGAAACCCTAAGCCGTAAGCCGCCCTATAAACCCTATAAACCCCCAAACGCCTATAAACCCCTATAAACCGCTAAAACCCGAAACCCTAACCGGAACCCGCCCTATAAACCCTATAAACCCTAAACCCCGAAGCCCCTATAAACCTCTATAAACCCTAAACCCCTATAAACCCTATAAACCCTATAAACCCCTATAAACCCCTAAAGCCCGAAACCCTAATCCCCCTAAACCCTATAGATCCCTGTAAGGAACCCCTATGGATCCCTTTAAGGAGCCGTAAGCCCAGCCCTACGAAGGCCCGGGCCTTCGCGGAGAAGGACCGAGGCAGCCGCAGGTTCGCTGAGAACATCAGCGACTCCCGGACCTTTCGGGGCTTCGGGGGTTTAGGGTTCCTTTAAAAGGGTACTACAAGGGTTCCTTTAAGGGAACTATAAGGGGTTTAGGATTTGGGGTTTAGGATTTAGGGTTTAGGGTTTAGAGTGTTTAGGGTTCCTTTAAAAGCATCTTTATAGGCGTTCCTTTAAAAGGATCTATAAGTGATCTATAGTGGTTTAGGGTGTTTAGGGTTCCTTTAAAAACATCTATAAGGTCATCTATAGGGTTCCTTTCAAAGGATCGATAAGTGATCTATAGGGGGATAGGGGTTTAGGGTTTCAGGTTCAGGTAGATCAGAAAAGCTTTCATCGTGTGAACCATATGAAACTGCAGCGAAGTACAAGACGGCCGGTCGACGTTTCGATGAATATGTCGCAGACGGGGCTGAAGGAGTGCAGTGGACAGCAAATCTAGGTTGAATTGGACCTCAACACTCGGATGGGCTGATGATCTTGTGGTACACGCCGATGTTGACTTCGGTTGTCGACTAAACCCTGAACATCCCTAAACCCTAAACCCTCATGATATTCCTGACATGCCATTTCAGCGGCTGATTGCCGTTTGTGGTGTATCAAATGCCACCTACGCGACGAACCCAAAGCCTCGCTCCTAAAATCCGCCGCGGTCCGATGCATGTGTCTGACACTTGGCTCGGGTTTGGGGCATTGGGTTTGAGATTTAGGGCATGTCAACCAGCCCAAACCCGTAAGCTTAAACCCCATGCCCTCAAACGTACTTGGCTTGCCTGTGGCTCCACTGTTTTGCACGATTTGGCGACAGGTGGGCCTGTGGCTCCAAAACCCAAAGACCTTAAACGCCGTAACGCCTCAAAACGCCGTAAAGCAGGCTTGGGGCCTAAAGGGAACTCCAGAAAGTTGGAATATGGATTAATGGTAGGATCCCCTATAATTTACCTTAAAGGGGTTACGATAATGATATTCCAACTTTCTGGCTTCTACTGTACAATCAAGCACCTGAAGCCCCGAAAAGAAAGGCCAGGGCGCCGTCTGGGTTGGGCACAGAATGTCTTGCTGCATGACGTAGGCAATTCCTGGTTGAGGATCAAGGGCATTCGGCTCAGGCGTTAGGGGCTACTGCAAGGGTTTCTTTCAGGATACTACAAGGGCGACAAAAAGGGTTAGTATAACAGGTACTCAAAGCACTATGAGGGGGGGTTTGGGATTTATAAGCCGGGTGCACAGCTCTTCTCAAGCCTGAACAAATTCTGTTCCGACGTTTAGTTCCGGGTTCAGCACCTGACTCGTAGTTCCTGGACCAGGGTACCAACTTACCTTCGGTTAGTAGGGAATGGAGGAATGGGATACAATTATAACTACTATTACTACCATTCTTCCATTCCCTACTAACCAAAGGTAAGTTATAGGAGTATTGAAGCCCCTACATTATAGTACCCTTATAGATCCCTTATATTAACCCTTATAGACCCCTTTTGTAAGACCCTAAAGTAAGACCGAAGGACCAAGGGACCCCCTCTCTAAGCATGTAACTCGTGAAGAACATGGGCATGTAAGGGTAAAAGGTTTCCGCACTTTCGGTCTACGTGCGTTTGTGGTGCCCAAGGCACTTGGAGGCCCTTTTGACTTAGTAAGTAGGGTTAGTAAGGTGGGTTATGGGGATTATAATAGGGTTTCTAGGGGATACTAAGTAGACTTACTAAGTCAACAGGGCCTCCAAGCAAGGCAACCCAAATGTGGGAGTCAGCTGCCCTAAACCCCAACCCTTAAACCTTTGACCCCACACCCTACATCTTAAACATTCAACCCTAAACCCTAGACCTTCAACCCTAAACCATGAACCATAAGCCCTAAACCTTCCACCCTAAACCATAAACCCTAAACCTTCAACCCTGAACCATAAACCATAAACTTTAAACCTTCAACCCTAAACCCTAAACAATCAACCCCAAACCGTAAAACCCCAACGTGAAGATCCCCGTTGGTTAGTAGGGAATGGAAGAATGGTAGTAACAGTAGTTATAAATATAACCCATTCCTCCATTCCCCACAAGCCGAAGGTAAGTTATAGGATTATTAAGGCCCCTCTATTATAGTACCCTTATAGATCCCTTATAGTAACCCCCAAAGGTAGGTAAAAGCTACTAACCGAAGGTAAGTAAAGCCCACAAGAGGCGGTCCCAGGGTTCACCGAGGCTCTTTTCCTCAAGGCGGCGCCGGTGACAGCTTGCCCATCGAGCCTTCAGCGGCTCCAGCGCTGGGGTTCTTTTTTCAGGGTTTAGGATTCAGGGTTTAGGGTTGAGGGTTTAGGGTTCAGGGTTTAGGGTTCAGGGTTTGGGGTGGAGGGTGATGGACTTGGCCCTAAACCCTCAACAAGCCCCAAACCATCCTAAACTCGAAGTCCTAAATACCTGGGGTGGCTGTCAAAATTATGCTCCTTCTTTTGGGGTCCCTATTATAATACGGCACCTATTCTTTAGGGCACCCCAAAAACGGACCATAATTTTGACAACTACCCACATCGACCCTAAAGTTTTAAGCCCTGGGCTTCGGAAGTCAGTGCCGAGATAAGGGTTGAGGGTTTAGGGGTTTAGGGTTTAGGGTTTAGGGTTTAGGGTTTAGGGTTTAGGGTGCCCTTCGAGGGTTCATTCGTTTTAAAGGGGTTTAGGCTTTGATGGTGCGGGGTCGAGGTTTTAGAGTCTAGGGTTACGGGTTTAGGGCTCCGTTGAAAGGGTTCTTTTAGAGCTAGGTGTTTGAGAGTTCTGTTGAGGGTTCCTTGTTCTTTCAGGGGTTCTGTTTGCGGTCCAAACTTAAGGGTTTGGGCGTGGCTTCCGGGGTTATGATGGCGGCGTCGGGGCTTTGCGCCACAAGTTTCAGGGCATATCAGGGCTTACAACAGGGGCTGAAGTCGAAGCCTAGGTCCTACGGTTAAAAGCTCAAGGCTTCTGGCTTCGGTTCGAGGGTGTTAGGATGGAGGGCTGCTTGGTTATACTCCGAACCCTTCCCTTACATAAAACCGGGTCATCTACTCATGATATGTCTTCTAGGAGCCCGACAGGCAAAGGTGACGTCCGACCAGCAAACCAAAAAAGCCCTCGCACTACACACTAAACCATGATGCTAACCCACATATTCCAATATTCCAACAAGCTCTGTGTTCGGTTCAAGGCTTTCCTGATGGCAATAGGTAATGTAGGAACCTGATTAAGAAACCTTTGGCCTTGATTATTAGGGTTCCTTATGTGAATCCTGCCATTTTGCTGTTATAGGCCCAGGGACTCTTAATCAGGCTCTTACACTACATTGACATGATTCACTGACTTCTCACAAAAGCCCTACAACCCCAGACGCGGCACCTGGAAACCCTACAGCGCGGAAGCCCGAAACACCGAAACCTCAAAGCACAGAAGCCTCAAACCATACATGCCGCCCCATTTCTGGGGCTTTAACCCTGGGCTACTTCAAAGTATCCCGGGAAATAGTAGAAGGGAGTCCAAAGAAGGCAGTGGCACACGTCGAACTGCAAAAAGCCTACTCCTACTCGCACCTTAAAGGACGCTTTGAGGTCTAAGCTTTGCTAACCAGTGGTTTTAGGGGTTCTCTTGGTTCTTTAGCTCGTTATTTACTAGGGATTATCATCATCCCTGGCTCCTAAGCTCCCCCAATATCAATGGTTAGTTTGTGCACGCGAAAATACGACCAGGAAACAGGATGCTGCCAGTGATTCGCTGCCGTCTGTTCGTCCTGACGCCGGTTGACCGTCGTTTGGTTGCAGGTTACAGTGCTTGGGACGTATGGCTTGTGGTTCCGAGTTTTTTGAAGGGAATTCTGGCTTCTGGTTCATATGTTGAGGGCTTAAGGTTTTTGCCAGCTTGGTGTCAATCTGATTCTTCAAACACCCCGACCCCGGACCCGCAAGGCCAAAGGCTCGCTCCCACCAAGGATCTACATGGGTTTGGGGCTTCGGGTCGGGTTTAGGGGTTTAGGGTTTAGGTTTAAGTCTAACATCTTGCAGAGCATGTAGCTAAGTGCCCCAAGACTGCGACCGTCGTCGAAAGTACGACTTTCATCGCTCTCCAGTCTTCAGAGGGGTTGAAGGTGGCGGATAATGCTCAACTCAGCGCTGTGCAGGGTTCCTCGGTAGTCATAACTCCAATGCATCAGCTCTTCTCAATGATAGTATTTTGGCAGCAAAACTATACAGAAGCCTGGGCAGGTGGTCATGTAACCCGAGGAAGTAAGGTCTCTTGCAAGATCCGGGTCAGCCGACAAGTTATAATGTACCATAGCTATAATAAGGACCCCCCCAAACAAGTACTAGTAATTGTTAAGGCCCCTACTCTAGACCCCTTTAAGGATCCCTTTAAAGGGAACCGTGCTGGTAGTTATTAAGGCCCCTATAGTAAGTCCTGGTGCCCCTATAATAAGTCCTGGTGCGTCCAGCAAGGACGTTCAGCAGCGAAGTCTTCCCGGCGCCTCAGCTTTTCGTGTTTCGAGAGTAGAGAGCACCGAGCGGTTGAAAGTTCCGGCTGTTTCCGGGTTTACGGCTTTAGGGTTTAGGGTTTTAGCTGTTTAGGAGTTTAGGGGTCTAGGGTTTAGGGGTTTAGGCTTTCCGGGTGTAGGGTTTAGTTGGATCGTAGGGTTTGGGTTTGAGGGCTTCGGGGTCATCGGGCTTCGGCAGTGGAGGTGATGTTGCGTGCATAAAGTACCGAAGCAGTGAGGGCCTGGGATTGTAGCGAGCTTCGCAACCGAAATATTCACTCTTGCTTGGGAAGTCCCGCCCCCCAAAACAGCGATTGCATTGTTATTATTGCTAAGGCCCCGGTGTGCCTGACGGAGCTTGCAACCCCAAACCCGAACTAAACCCAAAACCCAAAGCCCTGAACTAAAGACTACACCCTAAACTGGACCCCAAACCCCAAACCCTAAACTAAACCCCAAACCCTAAACCCTGAACTAGGCCCCAAACCCCTAAACTAAACCCCACACCCTGAACCCTAAACTAAACCCCAAACCCTAAACTACACCCTAAACCCTGAACTAAACCCCAAAACCCCAAACTAAACCTTAGACTTAGACCCTAAACCCCAAAGCCGAGAGTAGCCCTCCCCGGCGCCTGAGGGCCCCATCAACGCACAGAGCTCCCCGGTCTCCAGGGTGCCCGAGATGCTGTTGAGGATCTGCTTCTCCTGTTTAGGGGTCCCCTAACAGAACCCGTAAAGGGATCCCTTAAACGAACCCTTAAAGGGATCCCTTGAGGGTTTAGGGATTAGAGTTCAGGGCTAACGGGCGCTACCGATGGAACCTCCAAATCGATACTTAGCTCATCCTCTCGCAATCCCAATCCAGGACCCGACTTGCCAACACCCCATACATGTGTGCATAAATACAGACATGATCGTACACGCATACAGAACACATGATTTGAACATGACTCAACATAACATAACATAGCATTGCCACCGAACAGACAGAACCTGGCCGCCGTGCGTTTTAAAGCAATGGCGACACAGGTGTTTCAAGGCAATGTGCTTTGACGTGTGGGCAACGCACAGCACGATCAGATCGCTAATTTCATAAGTGTTACATAGTGCGCACATACGCACGTACATGCGTGCGTATGAGCGAGAGATATACACACATACATGTGCATGTGCACGTATGTAAATGCATGCGTGTCTATGTCTATATGTATGTATGTGTATGTACGTATATATATATATATACACAAATGCACATGCTTGGACTTTGGCAGATAGATACCGATAGTACCAAATCAAGGCAGACCTCACCCTTCTCGTTGCAGCCAAGAGCATCTGAAGCCGATTTGTGTATATACATCTTCAGAGCATTGTGATAATCGGCAACTTTACAGAACTTCATTCGGCCTACTAAGACAGTGGACCCTTTAGACCCCACAGAAAACCCCGGTATGACTCTTTGAGCCCCCCCTCCCCCCCCGCCCAGCGGCAAGGAAAAGGAACAGCCAAAGAAACTAACAACAAACACACACACACACACATATGTATATATATATGTATATACATATACATATATATATATATATATATATATGAAAAACACAAACACCCTAAACCCTACACCCTAGACCGAATATGCTATTAGTCATATGTACATATAACCCGAATGACCCTGAGACCTCAGTCCTGCTTGTCCGCTCCCACAGTCATCCCCACATCAGTCCAGGTGAACTTGGACTTGATCTTAGCAGCCCAGCAGCTCAAAAGATGAAGCCGGCCCGGGATTGGGTGGAATCAGGAGCCCTACTTGGAGGATCATGGGACTTAGTAAGTAGGGTTATATAACTGCCTTAATTGGGGGTATAAGTACTTATGAGTATAGTTACCTTAGTTATAGCCCCACTTACTAAGTCCCATGATCCTTTAAGTACACCCGAAAAGCCCTCAGACGCATACACCCTAAAGCTGAAACCCTAAACCTCAAATGCCTACACCCTGGTGCCCGAGAGCCTAAACCCTAAACCCCAAAGTTTGGGGTTAGGAGGCAGGGCAGACTTTCTTTGTCGGATCAAATTATCCAGCTGCTCCGCAAACATTGAAGACCGCTTTAAGGGTTTAGGGTTTGGGGGTTTGGGGGTTTAGGAGTTTAGGAGTTTGGGGGTTTAGGGGTTTGGGGTTTAGGATGGTTTCTGAGTCCAGCCCTCAATACAAGGGGTACCCTTTTTTATCATGGCCCATTCGGCCCTGAATGAAGATGGCACCAGGACATGCCTGGGGAACCTCGTTCTCTAGAACTCGCGACTATGCAGTTTCGGAAGTTTCATTAACTGTGGGATACTGGAGGTAGTAGGTGCTCTGTTTGGCTTACGCCACCAGAAAGCCACCGAAATGTAAGGTTAAACCTTCCGATTCCTACTGAACTACAAGAGCCCAACAAGGTTAACGGCTGGGTATCAAGGATCTGAGCTCGACCCTCAACTCAAAACCCCCAAACACCCTAAACCCTCAAACCCTAAACCCAAAAACCCTAAACCCCCAAACCCTGAACCCCCAAACCCTAAACCCCCAAACACCCTAAACCCTCATAGAATTGAAGATTAGAGCCCTTGAAGCTCCTGTTAGACTGAAAGTTGTCCCATCTTGGGTACGGCCCCCATACAGTAACAGTCTGTAATAGGGCTACTATTAAGGGCCTTATATATCTATATTATGAATATAATCCAACTGTTACTGAGTGGGGGCGGTACCCAAGTCCCATCGGTTCTTAGTCACACCATCGCACAAAGAGTTATAGGGCTTTAGCTTCCTTGTTGCAATTTTTGTATGGGGTTTCTGTAGAGTTTGATGGGCTGTTTTCTAGGCATCATCTGTCCTGGTATATACGAAAAACGGACTTATTATGCTTCATGACTCCCTGGGGTTTCATTGCCACCTTTAGATTGACGTATACTTCCGGAGGAGAACCCAGCCGACACCTCGAAAGGAAAAAGCTACCTTAACCTACCAAAACCTACTTTGTTGTAGGTTCCTATTATACGTCCTATTATGGAAGCTATAGGGACCCTACAAAAAAGTAGGTTTTGGTGGGTTAAGGTATGGTAGGATTACTTTCAAGCAGGCAGGGGGTATGGCGTTCCTATCCTGACGCTCACAAGAAGGGCACTGCAGTCACCGAGTGAGCCGAGGCCAACTAAAGAAATCTCAGCACCCGCCTACTTCCAAACCCAAACTCTGAAAAAAACGAAACACCCTGCAACACTGAATCCGAAATCTCAAAATCCATGCATGAAACCTAAGCCCCCCTCTCAAAAAAAGAAAGCTGAACCCTGCACCCAGAAACCCTCAGCCCACTGTTTGGAACAAGGTGGCCGTGGTGGAGGACCCTCTCACGGCCATCGGCACCATGGACTCTTTGCCTTGAGATGTGGCTACGGTTAAAGGCCTCGGGTTTAGAGTTTAGGGTTTAGGGTTTAGAGTTTAGGGTTTCGAGTTTAGGGTTGAGGGTTTAGGGTTAGGGGCTTGGAAAATGCGATACTGTAGGGGCCTTCATGATTAGAACGGACTTTGCTTTTTGGCGGGGTGGCGGGGCGAACGTTATACCACAATTCTCCTACGGCGCCCTAGTATCACCAATTTGGGGACTTAGAGTTTAGGGTTTAGGTTCATGGGTTTTGGGGGTTTAGAGACTTTGAAGGTTTAGGGCTGTAGTGCATACAAGGGCTTGGGGTTTACACTTGTTGAGGGTATCGTCTAGGCTCTATCAAATTCCCTCGTCCACTTACCAGACTCCCTTGCAGACACTGACAAATGACCCGTCTAAAAACTTTGTGACGCCCTTGCAAAGCCGATGCAACCTTACAATTATAGGATCCTTAAGGGAGGGTGGTTCAAGGGGGGAGGGTATAAGGAATCCTTAGGGGACTGTAAGGGAACCTTAGGGAGTACTAGGGAGAATTAGGGATCACTAGGCTATATACCCCCCTTGGACCCCCCTCCCTTAAGGATACTACAATACAAAGACAGCCGCGGGGCAACCATACACCCAGAATCCAGAAACCAGGCAAAACAACGCTAAAAAAAAACTGCTTAGGGTTCCGGAGTTCTGATGCGGTTTAGGGTTAACCCTAAACCCTAAACCCGAAACCGTGACCTCAGTCCGAAAACCGAAACCCTGCATCCTCAGCCCTGCACCCCAACCCCAAACATGAACGCTGCAGCCTCAGCCTAAACCCCATAGCATGAACCCGAAACCCTAAGCCCTGAACTTTACCCTAAACCCAAACCGATAAAACCCTGAACCCCAAAACCCTGAACCCTAGGCCCCTATCGATCCCTTGAAGGAACCCTACACCGCCTATAGATCCCTTTGAAGGAACCCTACACCCCTGCAGATCCCTTTCACGGAACCGCAAAGAGCCCCTAAAACTAACTGTCAACCCTTGACCCGACCATGGTGCCAAGGGCAAAGGACATCGGCAAATCCTCGAAGTCCTCATCGTTGACATCCTCTCCGAATGCGATCACGGGATGACTAGGGTTCAGGGAGTCCAAGCATCATTTCGAGGCCTTCAGAGCTAGAGGGTGCGTTATGCTTACTGGGAATGTTGAGACGTACTACGCAACATTGAGGATGCTTTAGGACTTACGGCTACGGCTTGGAGCTTCCTTGTACCCCCCACACACACACATCAGCCACCATCCCCCAATCCCGGAACCTACAATCCTGAAGTCCCCTTCAATCCTGAAGTCCCCTACAATCCTGAAGTCCCCTACAATCCTGAAGTCCCCTACAATCCTGAAGTCCCCTACAATCCTGAAGTCCCCTACAATCCTGAAGTCCCCTACAATCCTGAAGTCCCCTTTCAAGAATCCACCACAAAGCCATCGCAACGACCCGAAAGCCTACAAAACCCAGCCAAACAAGAACAACCCCTTGCAAAATCCCCCATCAAAACCTTACAAGCACTACAATACCAAAAATCCTCTGAAAGCCTCTAGGATTATAACAACCATAAAACCCCTCCCAAGATCACCCCTTTTTTGCCCCCTCCACCTCGCAGATGTCTGAAGGGGCGACCCGCATGCTCAGGTGGCACCTTGCAAGCTTTGTGCTTGGGTTTAGGGTCAAGGTTTCGCGTTTAGGGTTTCGGGGTGTGTCAGGGTTGCGGATTTAGGGCGTAGGTTTTCGAGTTCAGGCTTTAGGGTTTAGGGCCTGTGATGTAAATTCAAGGTTTCGGGTTCCAACAAAGGTCTCCATACGGGTTGCTCTCGGCGTTGCTACAGGGCCTACTGTAGAAGTTACTCTAAGGATTGTCATAGGAGAATCTGCTACAAGGGTTCCATACAGGAGTCAGGAAGGGATAGGGTTTAAGGTTTAGGGTTTAGGGTCTGTAAGGATTCATGGCTGAATCTCAACTTCCAAGCTCAAGGGCTTAGAGTTTGGGTTTAGGGTTAGGGTTTAGAGTTTAGGGCCTAGGGCAAAAAAAGTGAGTCTAGCCTTTTAGGGCTTAGAGTGTGGGTTTGGGTTTAGGGTGTAATTAGGGTGTGATGTAGGGGCCTGAAAAATAAGTTCAATAGGGTTTTCGGGGTATACTATACAATAAATAGATGAAGGAAGCCCAAAAACAGTATAGGTAATTCATAAGGCCCCTATAGTAGGGCCTGAGGCTTCAGGGGAGTGTAAGCCAAGCCACAGCCCGCCCTTCTTGGTCCTTCGTTCAGCGCCAGCGAATCCCACCCGGGCGGTGCGATTTAGGGCTTAGGGCTTTGAAAGCCGGCATCTAGTACTGTAGAGTTTAGGGTTCCGTTAAAGAGTACTATAAGGGTTCCTTTGAGGGATCTATAGGGGTTTAGGGTTTAGGGGTTAGGGTTTAATCGATATGAAAAACCTGGCCATTTAGTGCTTACAAGGTTTATAGGTCCTTGCGATCCTGGTTTTAGCCTGCTTTTTTCTACTGTATGGCATTCTTGGACTGTAGAGGTCCTGGTTCATAGAATTGTCTGTGAGATCTTCGGGCTTTGGGGCTTAGAGGGCGAGGAGTTCTAGAAAATAAGTGCCATCATCCTAAACCTGGACACCTTAGACAACGGAACATGAAACCCACGACCGTATTCTGGACACTCTCGCGTATATGCAGCGGTTAGGCTTTGAGCCAAATGTGAGGCGTCTGCCACAGCTGTGGGTTAACGGCTGAATCCCCTTCTGAATGAACGGATGCCTGTCGAGTTTAGGAGATTGTTGGATGTCGGATACCTGGGCTAGGTTTACACTTGGAGGATCATGGGACTTAGTAAGTACGGTAATAAGTACCTTAATTGGGGTTATTGGGGTTATAAGTACATAGAAGTATGGTTGCTTTATTTAAAACCCCACTTACTAAGTCCCATGATCCTTTAAGCACAGTGTTAGCCCGATTGCAAAGCTTGGGGCTCCGGGGTTGGGGTGCTGTGGATGAAAACTCGGGCGCCATGCACCGATGCCGTGATGCAAGACTGGAGCATCCCACCACCTTATGATAACTAGGTTCCCCACTTGTCCCCATACTGGTAAGGCTAAGCTTTTCGTACTATTAGGTCTTAATCAGGAGACCCCAACTAAAAGGGCAAAAGGGAACTAGAGGGGCAGACCTAGAATGACAATATGGCAGCAAGAAGAATACCCGCTTCGCAATGTTCGTCATCGTGATCGTCTTTGCCAACGTCGTCGTCATGACCAAAACCAATACCAAACTGCCACCGAGCGGGTATCGACCAAGGTGATGCTAATCATAAAACATATAGCAGTTCAATCAACCAAAGAACCGATCAATCGATCAATCAATATTGGTTGACACACTGGTTATGGGATACTAGGCACCATGCGTAATGTTGCCCAGTTTGAGTGTGTTTGTGACTTACAATCACGATAAGGTTGTGTCATGACTGCTGTTCTGTTCCTTCTTCTTATTGGTTTGATTGCTGATAAACAATCAATCATTACGTTCAAAGACTCATGCACGCAGCCACCCATGCGGGCCAAAAGAGCCGTTCCGTCGATACAACAAACCCTGACCTCTAAAATATGGAGCCCTAATACAGCACCCACTCTTAACCCTAAATGGGAGTTTCCGAAAATTGGGGACCCCAACACAGTACCATTGAATAGTAGGATCCTTCTTATAAGGACCCCAAAATAAGGTGTCCCTGACCGCAAGAACCCCCGATGAAGCACTGCAGCAGCAGGGTCCGTAGCATCGTTGGCCACAATGGAGCCGTACAGTCCGAACAACAAGGCCTGCAGGACGAGCATGCTTACATTAGGTTAGTGGGGGATGGAATAATGGTAGTAATTGTAGTTATATGGCAGCAATATGATAGTAATTAATATGGTAGTAATATGATAGTAATATGGTAGTAATATGGTAGTAATTGTAGTCACAATTCTGCCCGATTCCTTCATTCCCGACTAACCCAAGGTAAGCATCGCGAGGATTTGGGATTTAGGTCTAGAGGTTGAGGTCTGGGGCTCAGACTGTAGCGTTCAGGGTTTAGGATTGTGATTGTGTCGCATGCTTTTCACCCCCGTTGCGGGAAGGCGCTGAACCCTAAACTTACCTTTGGTTGGTAGGAAATAGAGGAATGGGGTATAATTGTAACTACCATTACCACCATTCTTCCATCCCCTACTAACCAAAGGTAAGTAAATCGCGAACCGTCATCCCTAAACTCTCAACCCTCGTGCTTAGTAAGTAAGGTTATAAGTACCTTAACTGGGGTTATAAGTACTTTTAAGTATACTTACCTTGTTAATAACCTTACGTTCGAAGCCCCATGATCCTCTAAGTATGGCGGCAGGCAGTGTCTAATCCGGAGCAAGATACAGCTTGACCCGAAGCAAATAGAACACCGCCAGAATGTGAGAGTTCCCGACTTAGCAGCGCTTTGCAAACGGAAGCCTTTACAGCGGAATCCGGATTCTACGGAGCCCTGAATACTGAACCCTAAACCCTAAACCCTAACCCTAAGGCTTCTCGTGTTGCTGGGGCTCGAGGCCGGCCTTACTCGCATTCCCAAGGCCTTCCCCGACAACACAAAAGAAAGCGGGGAGCGCTCAGGGTTCGGTTTAGGGAAACTGGGGTTGACAGGGCCAAACACCACCACAGCTCAGAGCTGTCTGAAAGAAACCGATGTAAACTCCAGGCAGATGTTCAGAGAACGCTACTAGCTTCGAATCAACCTAGAGACCTGCCCTTAGAACCAGAATCCCAGGCCACGAAACAACCGAAAAGCACTCAAATGACATAACCCTCGCACCCCAACCCCCCTTCCAAAACAACATAGTGTTCCGTTTGCGTATGTACGTATGCATGTACGCATCCATGCATGGATTTATGTGTGTGTGTGTGTATATATATATACATATATAT